TGTCCCCTACCTTGTGTGTAGGACACAATACTCTGGATATTTCCTTCCCCAAAGCCCTCCTAGGCCAGACAGAGCTGAATGTCCTGAGTGTCTTCTGATCCATGGTGCCTGGGTGGGAGAGGCACTGCAGTACCAGGCTCCACAGCTGCTGTGTCCCACTGCAGCCCCTTCTCCCTCCTCCCTGATATGCTGGATGTGTCTGTCATCACACAACAGGATTGCTCCACCATTACATGGGAGGATGCTTGAGAGATCTGGGCAAGGAAGATAGGGGAATTTTCAGAAAGGAGGGGGAACAAATAGTACTCGTCTCTCCAGAGCTAATTGGAGAGAGTTATTGCAAGCTCTTGTTTCTCCTCTACATAGAAGAATAATTGTGTAGATCCTCAGCCAGAGTAAATCAGCATTGCTACTCAGCACACGCAGTGAGCTGTTCTCATGCTCTCTCCTCTGTCAGCAAACTGAGAGCATCCTTCTCAGCTCAAAATGACATCAACATCCTTAAATCCCCGATGTTGCCATTGATCCAGTCACTTTCTCTGGCTTTGGCTGTGTCCTATGTACTCTGCCTTTAGTTCCGTTTCTCATGGGTGTCCTTTCATTTTATGAATGTTTTTCTAGTAAAAACAACAAAACAGGTAGAGAGCTCTTGAGTATACTCAGAAATTTAGAATGATTCCACAGAGAGGGCCACACCATGTTCGGGTCTTTGCTCTAGGCTCCCCAGGCTTCTAAGCCATGAAAATGGGGTTGAGAAAATAAGCATTTATCTCCTCTAGCTTTTAACCCATGAAAATAATTTCCTTGTAAACATATCAACTAGGTACACAGGAAGTCCAGTTCTGGGGAATGTTGGAGACTCTCAACACCTTCATGCAGTTTCCACTTCATCCTACAAGTATTTACACATGGTTCTGGCCTGCCTGAGTGGTGCAGGCAGAGGAATAAGGAGTCAGGCTGTGCAGAGGTTGCTGTTGTACAAGGCTGATCTCTTAAGCAGAAGGAAGCAGCACTTGGCTGCCTCTTGGCTTAGGGTGCCCACAGAATAATGTTGCCTCAGTAGGATAAGGGGACAGTATAGGCCCCAGCCTGACCAACAAATGCTTGAAAATGTAGAACCAAAGAAAGATTAGATAGCACTGTGTCCTGTATTTATAGGCAGGGAAAAAAAGGCTGCCAGAAACATGTCAAAGTGAAAATTAAATATCTAAGCAATGTATTTTTAAACAAAGTATAAAAATCTAGTGAAAAATGTAGAAAGGTTTTAATTCTAACAAAACAGCGCTGCACTTTAGGTTAGCTGATTCTTTGTCTAATCCTTTTGTTTAAATTCACAAAAGTACTCTGTGTCATTGCAGCAGCTGCAGGCACATAGAACCAGCACTGCCATGGATCCAGGGTATCACTTTCAGTAAAGGAGAAAAGTCACAACCCCCAGCGGCATCTCATGGGTACTCTGACACACAGTGGACTCCTTGGTTTGCAGATTTGACTCACTAAGTTGAAGGAAAATCAGTTCAACCCCAAAATAAAGATGGTTAGTCTGTACAAAGGTACTGAGCTGATCTGAGCTCTAGCATAGGGAGGACAAGGACTTGTGAACAGGCTGGTTTGGTTCAGAAGAGGACAAGGCAAGGGCACTAAAGATCACAGGGACCTCTGCAACACAAATTTTAGTGGGAGGATGAGTGATCAGAGGCCCAATGTACCAGAGGACACATTGTACAAGAGTGCACTTGTACAAGATTCCACTCAACTCCTCTATCCAGGACTTTCATGTATATAAAGGACACCTGTTTAAAGCCCCCTTCCCATCTCCACACATGGCTTCTGCTCTGTTTCACATTGTACATGGCTTTGAGTTATTCTGCCTAGTTTGGCTGCATCCCTTCCAGGTGTATCCTCTGCCATCCTGGGATATTTTTGCTGCCATCAGTGAATATTAAACCCTATTTTCAATATCAGACTGAAGGGATTTTTCCATCAGACCCAGACCTATTACCTTTTGTTGGCACGGTCCTTTCCATTCCTCTTACCTGGGCGTCTCCTTGACACTCTCACTTTACTCAGACTAACAAAGAAACAGCTCCACTGACTTTTTGTGTAGAGCCATCAGACCTAAACTTCTCAAACAGAAATGTCCCTTAGGATGGTTTCACAAGCTTTTAGAATCCAAGGACCAACTTTGCTTTCTGAAAGGACTCCAAGGGCAGCTTATGTTCTGTCTCCATGGAGGTTTTAATTCACAAGCCAGTAACAATTAATCCATTAGAAATAAATCTATTCATTCAGTCAATTCCATCTGTGTATTTATTTCCCAACACCTATATCAGAGGAATGCTGAGTGGAAGTTAGGAAACAAGGGGTTTTGCAGGCATTTTCCTGGTCACAATCTGAGGCAGCTCACCCAACTTCTGATGATACCATTCTTTAAGGGAGATTTCTCTCCTTCGCTCTGCCACCATGGGTAGTCAAGGTGCAAAAGGCAGCGATGTTGGGGCAGTGCCATGCTCTCCTTGCCATGACTTTTGCACTTCCAGTATTCCTGGAGCTCCAGGCTTGGTGGCTTTTTTAATCCTAACCTCCTTCCAAACCCTAACTGCAGCCTTTGGCTGAGACTCATGTGGCCATCACCACAGAGTGTCCAAATGTCCAGGTGTGTGGCAGCTACTAATTTCCCTCCCCTCCTTCCTGATGGAACTGGGGCTCATTTGACCCCTTCAGTACACTGGTTTATAGAAAAAAACCTCTTGAGAATATTTTCATTTTTACCTAACCATGTTATCTGATTCACTGCAGGTACAGAAACTCGTCAGTATCACAGCAAGGGAAGGCATTAGGGGACCTGGCGGTGGACAGAGTGCAGGACAAACCTGCCAGAGACAAGAGGCCATTGGATTTGAAAACACACATTTCAGACCATACTGGTCCAGCAGGTGGGGAATGCTTGCCAGGGTGTTGATGCTGTCTAGATGCTGAACTGCTGGTATCTTCTGTTCACCTAAAACTGCTGGGCTTCGCTGGCATATTCCTTCCCTCACTATAGATATTTGCTAAAAATAGTCATATTAAAACTGAAGGTGTTTTTTGTTTCTTTTAAAGAGTAGTAATCAAACCCTCAACAATGCAGAGATTACAGGTTTAAGAGGATCCTTACAAAAGAGACTGAATTTAGGGAGTGCAAATACTTTCCCCTGGCAGCCATTCATTCAAACGCAGCCTTGGTCCTTAGTAACTGGAAGTGGTTCCTGCCTGATGGATTTTTCATTGAGTGACATAAATAGAGGCAAAGTGGAGAGGATTCCTGACACAATGGCCAGATGCCAACATCAAAGCCCCCCAGTATAATTTTCAATTGAATTGAATGGTTCACATGTATTATGAACAGCACCTTTTTCACTTGGTCTAAGCATTTTCCTCCACAGTCCTCTCCTGGTGCCTTCCCACTATCACAGCTGTAGCTTTTTTGTGGGTAAGTGGAAGATTTCATTCTTGTGGGCTGCCAATTAGGTGGCTTTCAGTACCAGCTAGAATCAGAGGGACGATTAAAATTAAGTCCAGCCTTTTGTCCTGTCCTTGCAAAAGGAATATCATCCATTTCAGAGGAGGATAAAGACTTATCCCACTTCCTACACTCCAAAAGATGAATAGAGTAACTTTCAAAATGTTAGAAATATATTGTTTTACCACAATTCTCATTTTCCATTTAAAGAGAAAAGTTACTTTTTTTTTTTTTTTTTTTTTTTAATAAACCTCATCATTTTATTTCAGTGTTTTGGCTGCCTTCTGGACCCCTGTTTACAGTGTTAGTGCAAGCTAGTGACCAGTTTTAGCTTAGCTCCTACCAAGTAGATGTTTCTTTTCCTGCTGCTTGGCATAACTCTACCATTTTCTTTCCTCAGAAATGTAATCATATTTTTAATAGGAGACTGACATTCAGGTATCAATTCACCTTCTGAATTCTGATTAGACAGAAAACCAGGCTACTCATAATTTATTGTCATTTGCAAGTACCTTCTCAAAGAGCAGTGGTCAGACTGCTTATCTCCTGGTCATATTCCAGTCTCACAGACTTTAACTGCAGTTTGGGATGGAATTTTAAATTTATTTTCTTTTTAAATTTTTTTTACTCTGGAGAACCTTAAAGCTCTCTCTGGACTGTTACACAGATGTCACATGTCATACCAGATGTGAATTTCCTAAAGTAAATCTTGCTGTGTATAGAGAGGACTAATGTCTGGATCACACATTTATGGGCTGTAAAGATATTTGCAAGTTCTTTGGGATAAGAAGACCACATAGATACAGAACATCCCTGCAGGCCAGTACAAGTGTCTGTGATTCATTTAAGATGCAAATCAGCCTGCAGTCATCAATAGGAGATATATTTCAGAATAAATATGTATAGTAAATATATTTTTCCATCCTCAGATGTTTTTTGAAGGGCAAATACTCCTCTATTCCTGCACTGATATGAATCTACCAGGGGATGGGTCTCCCTCTTCAGTTTCAACAATTGCAAAAAATACACAGCTAAGTGCTGAATGACAACCAACCTCCCCCAAGGACAAATTTCAACTCAGATAGTTTATTCCTGAAACAGTGGATGGGTATGAAAACATTAAAAAGAAAAACCTTCTTTGGAAAGTTCCTGACCAGGAATTTTGTTACAGAGAATTCTAAGCACAGGCTGATACTGAGAAGGAGACTGGGAGGTATTTGGCTCCTGCCAGGCATTGTTTCTTAGTTTGATTAAGCTCTTAATCTTGTGTTTCCTTTGTGAGTATCAAGCTCCAGAAAACTGCCTTATTCAGATGCCTAAAGGGAAATAAGATTCAGCTTCAAACAAACAACAATCACTGCTCCATTTTTGATCATAATCTGGGGGGAAATGTATCATGAAGCTTGAGACCTCAAAAAATCAAGTTTGGAAGTCAAAATTTAAGAATCTGTCAAAGCTAATCACTTCAAATAATGCTGAAATAGAAGATTGGACTCACCACAAGAAGTATTTGCAGCAGGAGATAAAAAGATTACATGCTGAATGGTCTGATGTGAATAGGAAAGATGCTATTCTTAAAGCCCTGAGCTCCCATGATGCAGTATTACAGCTTTGGACTGAAATGGTAAAGCTAAACTAGAAATGTGCACTGATAACGTCAGAGCAATCAGCCTCTGGGATGAGAGCAGAATTCCTACTTCAAAAACAGTTTTTTTGTTGAATTGCAATTATTAGTATTTAAAACAGCAGCAATTAGTGACTGAATCCTAGAGCCATTGTGCTGGGCTTTATTCTGTGCTTTATAGTGAAGAGCTGGTGCCCCAAGGACCATAAAAGTGTGAAGAGACAAAACAGAAATATGGATGGAGGGGACACAGAGAAGGAATGACCTGCTGAATGCTTAATATCAAATCAGCAGCACAGCCAAAAATACAACACAGGCTTGTAATCTGCTGCCTGCTTCAGCCAAAACTGCCCAAAGCTTCCTTCCTTCCTTGACAATTCACTTTACACAAAAAGAATTTCATCTCAATGAGACTTTATCCTGGTGGGAACAGGTAAGCAAACGACAGCAGCTGTGATAAGGTGAAATTCATGGGTTAATCACCCATTCTGCATTCACCTCTGAAATGAAAAGCCTTTGGAATGAAGCCTTTGGAAAGAGATATTCCTAAGGGAACAGGAAGTGAGTCCAGGTTTTCTGAGGATACATGTGAGTACCTCTTCAAGGAATTAGAAAAAAAACTGTTCAGATGCTCAGACATCTAAAGAATAGATGGCTATCAGCTGCAGTGAAACTCAGGCTAGCAGGCTGCATTCAACCCTAGTCAAGCCATGCTCAGGAAAGGTGAATCCAACAGGCAGAGAAAGGAGTTTCCTGGGGAGTTTAAAGAGATGCTGTCATACAAGGAAGGACTATAACATCCTATCTCTCCAGTCTTCAGCAAAACACAGCAGGAGGAAAATACCAGCTTGGGAGAGCAGCTGTTCCAGGCACAGGACAATGTTGAAAAGTGGTAAATGAGCAGAAGTTTTCCACAAATGCATTTGACCTTTGAGCAACCTCTGCTGAGAGGACTAGTGAGGCAAAAACTAGTAATGCTTTTAAAGTGGAGCTTGTGAACTGGGTATTGCAATGCACTTTGCTATGGAAAAGGGAATAGAGTTAATTGGTCCTCCCAGGCCTTTGTTCTAAGAAGATGCTGCTGCCCTTCATAAGATATTTTTCTAGAAAAAAGCAATGATTTTTTTAAAAAGCTCTGCGTTCCACAGAAATCTTGTAAAGTCTCTTTGCTGTTGCAACATCATGGCATATTTTATAAATGTGGGAATAGCTGAACTTCTTGAGGACGCTCTTGTGATCATTGAGTCATTTAGTCTTTATTATATATTTTCAGCTGGCCACTTAACATTTTTAAGAATTATACTTCTAAAACCTGAATCCTTTTGGCCAAAAAACCCCCAAGTTCCCCTAAAATTCAGGAAACTGGAAGAACAAAGCTCCCCACCTGAAAAGCAAGCCAGTGCACTGCAGTTATCCTAAAGTTTGTAACAGATATATTTACAGCGATCTTTTGACCCCCACATCTCAAGATGACTCATTTTTGAGAAAGTTTAAAGCCTGCCTTTAAAGGATGTCTTCACTACTACATACACCCATATCTGTTCCCTCTGGGGAAAAAAAATGAATTCTAATACATTGCGTTGGTATTGATATATTAATCACACATATGAGATGATTATTCTTGATAATGCAGCTTAACAATATAATGCAGCATTGAGGAAGAGGTCTGATTACATGTCATTCAGCTAGGGTTGAGCTACTATATTTAGATGCTGACTAATTTGGGAGAGCACTTATCCATCTTCCTGAGGAATTTCAGCAGCTCCTGTTCCTGTGGGATCTGAAGACTTTACACCAGCTGGGCTTTTCACTCCCAGGGTTTCTGCAAGCCTGGAACATGCTGATCTCCCCATTCAACACCTGCCTCCTAGGGCTCCCTTCCTCTGCCACAGTGTCTTGCAGGTACCAACACTTCTGGCTCTCCCAGGGGTGGCAAAGACCTGGTGTCACCTGGACAGGGGTGAACTGAAGGACATGTCCCAGGAAAACTGCATTGGTGATGATCAAGACGTGGCGTCTGTGGTGCAGCATCACCCAAATGTACACTTGCACCTAAAATATGGCTTTGACTTAACTGAACCCGATTCTTAGTCAAAATATGAGCACTTTATTTTTTTGCATTCTGTATGTAGGAAGGGAAGCGTAGAGAGTTCTTGAATTAGATGTAAATGCTCCCCTTCAAGTTCCCCTTAAGGATGCCCCAGTGTATTTCCAGTACAGGGCACTGTGTTTATCTGCAAGGTGTCTCTAAGGAAGCATCCTTACCTAGGAGACATGGGCTCCCCACATCTGCAGTGCTGCTGAGACACGTTTGCTGGGAGCTAGAAGAAAACATTGCTCACATCTAAGATGAGGAGCCATGGTTACAAAGTCCACAGGGCCAGCAGAAGTCAACTCAGCAGTGACTTTCCCACATTGAAAAAGATCCATATCCTGGACAGACCCAGGGATTTGTAGCAAAAGCCTTTTTAGGAGCTTGTGAACTGAGCATGCAGACAGACCCACCAGTGGCAAAAGCTGGAGGAGGCACTGAAGGGCTGACAGAAGCTGGCAAGGAGAAGCTGCGAGAGAGAAGCTGGACGAAGAGAGCCAAGAATCTCCCATCATCCAGCCCAGAGCTACGGCAACGTGGGAAGACAAGGCAATCAATCTTTCTAACTTATTTGGCTACATGATCAAGAAACATTAAGCACTGCATGACAAGGCTGCTGTACTTGGAAAGGTATTTCAGGTCCACAGTGTCCTGAGCCAGAGCGTCCTGAGCAAGGCTGGGTGGTAAGTTATTGGTTGATTCTTACAGAGACAGCAAACTCCTCAGCACAGGAAGAAAGGGCCACCCATAAAGATTGCACACGTGAGCTATGCCATTCTTTCACTCCTTTCAGCAGACCCCAGGACCCAGGCAATGAAGCACATTTGAATGTCTCTGGCAAGAACACAGTCCCACAAAGACAGCATGCTGCACACAAGGTTAGAGAGAGCTGAGCCAGAGGACACGGGAACTCAATTTCATTCCAGCACAGGGACCTGTCTATCCCTGCTTTGTAACAGGTGGACAAACAAATAACAGGATCATATTTGATTGCTCCCCTCAGAAATGTCAGGTCATCATTGCAAGGGCAGCTGGCTGAAATGAATGTGTTTTTAAAATCACTGCATTTAGCTGTGACTAAAGCTAAACAAAAAAGTTTAATCTATTATTGTTATTCATGGGTTTGAGGGATTTGTGGTTCTTTTTCTTTTCCTTTCATTTTTTTCTTTTAAATTGTTTTCTGGGGGAAAAAAAAAAAAAAAAAGGTAGTTTTTCTTTCCCCTTTGTTGCTTGACAGTCTGATTTGCAACTAGTTACACCCTGAAGAATAAATAAGGTATTTCTATTTGCAAATCAAGAGAACAACTTGGCCACATGCTTAAACATCTTAGTATAGTAAAACAATCATTCACTGTTTTTTAAATAGTTACATTTAAAAATTCTTAATCTTTATAAATATAATTAGGAAACAGCTTAGAATCCAGAAAACTAGCATTCAAATTGATATTATAAGCTAAGTCAGACAACATTACACGTGCTGGACAGAAGTCACTTATCAAAATATTTTACATGAAACATAAGGTTTGTTACCCAAAGAATATATGCTAATGAAAGTTATTTTCCTTTTGGTGTTCATCAGGTCTGTAGAACTAGTAGATATCAGCCTAAATTTGAAGAGAACAGGCTTCCCCTTTTCATTGCCTATTCTGCTTCTTAGCTTTGAGTGGGTTAACTGTTGGACTGATGTAAAGTAGAAACAAAAGCAGGAAAAATGTTATTCAGCTGCAAAAGGGATCTCAGATATGAAAGTGATCCACCACTTCAGTAAACTCTCACTCTTAACAAATAGCTGGTTCAGCCAGTTTTTTAAATTTACAGCAATTAATCTCTCCTGACAACTGTTAATTTTAAACCTTGGTTCTTCACCTTTCTTATACTCCAGAGGAACAAATGCAGATCCTTAAGGCGCCGAGAAGCCTCCACAGCCTGTCCCATCCATGTCCCCCTGCTACCCCCAGTCTGTGAAGGCAGCTGGGTAGGGCACAGCCAGGCAGAGCAGGCACCTCTTGCATGGGGAGAGGCAAGGGGGAAAAGGCAGAAGATGCTACAGGCAGATGCTGTAGGAGAGGAGATGGCTGCCCAGGTGGCCCACTGTGAGATAGATGGCTGGGAGAATTAGGGTTTGCAATTGGTTTCCTTGTAGACTAAGACAGTACCTAAACTAGCCAATACACATCTGCAAAGGGAGTTAGGGCTACATCCCATCTTTCCCAGGTGCTTTGCTGACTGAGTTGCTGGGTAAATACTGCAAAGGACCAGGATGCTTGAATACCGCTGCAAGAAGCAGACAGGGGCTACCTTGACTGTCTTTTTAAGGCATGTACATAGCCATGGCTTATTTTTGTTCTGGAAGCAACTTATGTTCTTCCCATATGGGTGTTTTTGAATGCAGCCCCAAAATAACAACCTCCATTTGGTTGGGAGTGAGAGTACAGAAGAATGAGCAAAGCTGTAAACAGCCAGATTCTCCAGAGAAATAAGTAGCAGTGAGGAGTTCCTAATCAAAGGCTATTTCATGCCTTTATAGGCATTATTAAACTCCTAAAGGGGCAAATTAGACTTGGAAACTCCCCATCTAAGAAATTTGCTCCAGAAGGTCTTGGGTGGAAGTTACATGCCATCTCACCATCAAAATTCAGATGCCAGGGGAGCACTGATTCTGAGGACATCCTCTAAAAACCAGTTCCCATAGATTTGAAGGTGCATGAACCTCCTGTCTTTGCTGGGCAGAGTGCCCAGGGATTACTCCAAGGCTCACACCAGACAGTCAGCACTCTGGGCCAGTGAAAGAGTCAGAAAAGCACCCCTGGCAGAAGAGGTAAGCAGTCAGTGCCTGGGGGTACAATACTGAAGGACTGCGTAGGGCTGAG